CAGGGGGCCGGTGCTCTCCCTGGCGGTCACCGGCCAACGAAGACATCCCCAACGAAGGGTGCAAACGTACTTGCTTTGACAATCCGTCTCATGCTTGAGTGCAGTTGAGATCCTCCACACTCTTAATATTTATTCTCGCCCAGGGCCGTCAGCGCCCATTTCTGGAATGTCCTCCTACAACTCGACCATTTCGGAACCGCAAGAAGGGGCCCTACACGCGTTGTAAGAGGTTCTTGTGATGCGCAAGAGCTGTAAAGCGTTGATTCCTTGATCGTTCGGCGAAGTCTTCGGTGCTCGATTGGCGAAATGCATGTCGGTTGCTAGCGACATTGACTGTTAAGCTATTGCAACCTGTGTACATCCTGACGTTGGGCAACAAGACAGGTATTAAACCCCTCCCAGAAATGGATCAGTTTTGTTTTTTCCATTAAGAATTCCGCGAAACGGCACTTCACCGTGAAATCACCGTGAAGTGATTCTGATCCGTGAAAAGCCATTTCGGATCATTCCTGTTACAATCTTCCTATATTCTTAGGTTGTAAAATGACCTAGACCTTGAATAACTGGGAAATAGTTCATCCTAAAGACCTAGAATTAGTTATTCCAATATTCCATTATTATTGACCTAAGTTTTACCACTAGGATACACCTAAATATTTAATTGGTATTCTGTGGTAAAGGTTAGTTCATTCCTAATAAATCGCACAAACTAGGACCCCTTACCACCCCAACCCAGCGTGAATGCGTGATGACCTTTAAAGACCTTTCGGGGTGTAGAGTTCTGGATTCCTTGCTTTTGCCGCTCACTAACCCACACGCCCAGCTGTGAGCATCTTTGAAGGCTAGTGACAGCTAGCTGGTGCCTACATCATGGCCAAACGATGGCACGTTCTCACGATGTTGCGTCACGGTGCGCAGTGTTTTTCGAACATATGCCGTATGAGTTGAAAACATTCAACAGCATGCTGACTGCCAGCAAGCTCAGCCAGATTGCTGCTGCTGTGTAGGCACGACTGGGGAATGCAAGTTGGCGCAAACTGGGGCAGGGCCGAGATAGAAATGCTGAAAATTTGATCGGAGGCGGGACCCGTTTCTGGTGCTCTATTGGAGGAGCCCACAAAAACTCTCAAGCGTCAAAGGTCAGCGCCCATTCCGTGAATAAAGCGCATTTCCGGAATGATTTTTGGAGTCTCAGGGTTCGGCATCTGCGAAGCATGAGGCCTAAGGCTGATTCCTGACACCTACTGATTCAACCTGATTTTTGGCGTGATGTACCTGACTCTCCAGAACGCCTTGAGGCCCGCCGACACTTTGTGTCAAGTGTGTGTGTGTGTGTGTGCGTCTGCGTGTGCGTTTGTATTTGCAAGTGGTTTGGTTTGGGAGGCCGTTCCAAACCCTTGTACTAATATTTTACCTTATGTCTTCACAATGACAAGTAGACTTCTGCGAATGTCCTCACACTTTTAGTCAAACACTTTCGACACCTATGGCGGACCTTTCCGTTGTGCACTGGCATCTTTTTTGTTGGGTGGCCAACAAACAGCTCCTGGCAATGCTAGCTGGCTGGCACAGAACGGCGTTCCCTCTGAGAGTAGGGATGTTGCGGCGAGCCGAGCGGTAGACTGCAGAGAAGCAGCCGCTGATTGCGCTCAGTGCACGTGGCAAATGCCAGCAGTTGTTCGGGTTCAACAGGTAGCAGGAGGGTCCTAACTACATGCTTCAATCTGCCGAGGTACCTGAAGCCGCTTCAGGATGAGCTAGAAGAGCTACGTGAATCCAATGACAAGATCCTTGCATGGTTTCAGTGCATTGAAAGTTATTCGAGTAAGACGGGCATTCAGGCACAACCAAGCAATTGAGGCAGCTGTTTGAGTTGCATTGGTGCTTGTTTTGAGCCGTCCGCTGTAAGCTGTCTGCGATCATCTGCCAGCCTTTCCCATTCTTGGAGCTGTTTGAAACGACAACGACTCATTGGGTGGCATAAAGTGGCATTGGGGTCTGGCAGGTGTCCAAATTCAATGCTTGTCCTTGTCCAGCTTGAGGACTTTCAGTAGAATGGCGAGTACTCGTTCTCTCAAACGTCGCTGGGCTTCTAAAGCTGCAGCACTGTACATCATAACTAGCTCTGAGAAACAAGAAGATGACCAGAGTGCAGCGAGGTACCGGCCTGGATGTGGAAGACGAAGAGCAGGCCGCCAACCTCGGAAGGGCTGAGCTGGGCTTGCTGCAGACAGCACTGGTGGCTTCTGCAGACCGAGTGGCCGGGGAGCTCAGTGGTTTGTTATTGCAGCTGGGGGAAAGCCTTGCAGATGGCTCCGACCTTCAAGAGATCGTGCAAGATATCATGGCCTTGCCTGCGCTGGACCCTCGTTTTACTCGTGGGCAGGATGCTGCAGTTGTTCTTTCTCGCGATGATTTGGGCCTAGTGCAGACTGCCCTCAAAGCCACATCGCAGAGAGTAGCTGGTGAGCTTAGCAGGAAGCTTACAGCACTTGGTGAGCACCTTGTTTCGGGAAGTCCCGAGCTTTCAACTATTGTTCGGGCCATACAGAATTTGCCTATGGATGTTGCCGGGGACAGGCGGCAGAGTGGCTTGACCAACTCGGTAGGTGTGAACACGTCAGCAGCGATGGTTCTGCCAAGCAAAGATAGCAGAGATTTTCCCGACGGCCCTGAGGGCCCACAGAAGGATTCCACCTTTCAGGCTGAGCTCGGCCGGATGCGTGCTAGCCTTGATGCTGAACTGAAAGCTGCCAAGGAAGAGGCAGAGCGACAGCGTCTCCGTGCCGAGGAGGCCATGCGAAAGCTGGAAGAGGAGGCCAGGAAGGCAGAGAACATCATTGCAGATCTTCGAAGCAAGCTCAAGGCCCTTCAAGCTTTACTGGAAAGAGCAGGCTTAGGCAAAGAGGCGGCCGCAGCACTGTCACAATCAGGCTTGAAAGACTTCATCGCTGGGCGCGATGTGTTCGAGAGGCTATACCGGGATGCTTTGCGGCGGATGAGAGTTTATGCCGAAACGCAGCTGCGCCTGCTAAATATGTCGGCGGCTGACTTTCTGCAAACCTTGCATGATTTGGCGGCCTATCCGGTTGGGGCAGTAGAAGCTGCGATAGAGCTGCAGCGGCAGGGCCGGCAGGGCGAGGAGTCGCCGCTTCTGGTCATGGGCTATGCCGGCTATGCCAATGCTGCAGGGAAAAGCAACACTGGGCCGTCTCCAGCGTCAAGTCCTAAGAACGTGAGGCAGGCAGAAAGTGCAGATGCCCCAAGTACTGCACGGCATCTTCGCAAGTTCAAGACTTCCAAGACCACAATCGGCGAAGTGGATAAGCGAAGCAAAGCCTCCGGCTCAGGAACTTCAGTCATGAAGCGTGCAGCCACTGAAGGCTCCTCGCTCCGTGGTGTGCCGATCAGAACCCTGCGCCAGACCTTGTTTGAAGGTTTTCAAGACCAAAGTCCCAAGGACGTTGAATCTCATGGATCCTCGAACAGGGGGGCCATCGACCCCAACGTCCATAGAGATCAAGAAGGAAGGTTTACCCGACCTGTGGCTAGCCAGCTTCTTCCTCGTCCTGGCACTGGTAGTGGGCATCGTCCTGGCACTGGTAGTGGGCATCGAGTTCCCCTGCTTGCAAATGGTTTACATGCACCGCGCCCAGCCAGCAGTGGCAGAGCCAAAGTGCGTGAAGCACGGCAAGCACATCCATCTATGCAAGCACAAAGCCGGAGCTTCGGATGAGGTGGTCAAAGGGGCATGATGCACCATGAGGTGGCATGCTTCAAGTTCAAGGGTACCATCGTGCTTGAATTCGCCAGCTCATGCACGAAACTCTGCAAGTCGTAGTCGTAGTAGTCGTAGCAATGTCGGGACATCATGGCATGTCTGAGACAGCCTTTAGATCAACAAGATGTTCGGTCGACCTCGTTATTGAGCCGGAAGATCTGATTGTATGTCGGCTGAAAGACACTTGATTAGTTGTTATAATACGTGATTTGTTGCTATAATAGGGTTTAGGAAGTGTACTGCGGTCCAATCATTCACCGGCCTTTCCGTAGTACTTCGCGCCGAACTGGCCGCTGCTCCAAAGAGGGCTGAGCAGCCTCGGCCACTGCGATGTTCAACTTCAAACTCTCCAGGCCCGCAGCTCGCCCTGTCATAGCCTGCTTAGATGTAGGACTTGCGGTAGCAGAAAGCATAACGTTGCACTGGCCAATTTATATTTTGAGTGACCAGCACAGAAATGCAAAAGCTCACCACCCCTGCGCAAAACAGCGCGTGGGGTGTCCTCTGAGCGTCGCTGGTCTTGCTGGCGCTGGAAAAGGTGATATTCCTGGCTGTGGCGACTTAATGCTAGCCTTTCGGTGGCACGGGGCGATGTGCGCCTTCATGCTTCGCACATCTTCGCATTCGAGCTTCGGAGTGTATTTGTGCACGAGATCCGCGCCTTCGGCAGGCCAAGCAATTCCAAGCTGCACTGAAAGGAAGCCGGCAGTGATCGCTGAGCTTCGCGGGCTTCTCCTGTCATAATGCACCGATGCGTGTAGGACCCGTCCGGAGTTGAAGCTGCTGCTTGTCGCGAGTGGATCCGTGTCCTTGGGCGAAACCCAACGCTATAATGTGCTTCAGTGACTTCAGTGCTTCACGTTGTCTGCTGTTCTGAGGGCAGCACAAGCTTCGACAAGAGTGCATTCAATGGCATGTCATGGCCGTGTTCAAGACGCCCTGAAGTGACAGACGACAGTTGAGATGAAGGTGTAATAGTCGCAACTACAATCAGATGTGCTACTGATAGGCTTGCTTGACATCGGACATTCTTTTCCGCGCCCACCCGGCATTTCGGCAGTCAGCGTGAAATCGGAGAGTGCAGAGGGGAAGCGCCTGAGAAAAAGACTCAAGGCCGCTAGGCTATGCGGGTTGTCTGCAGTGAGTTGCCGATTGGTTTGATCAGCACCTCGGGAGTGTTCGCACCCCTATCGCACCAAACACCTGTGTACTGAACCAGGGATGGTGAAGTTATTGGAGTCATCGGAGTTGGCCAGGACACGGGATTCCAAAATTTCAAGCTTCAGCATGTTCACTCAAGTTGAAGTTGGCCATCAGGTGCTTGCTGTTGCTTCCTTTCAGGACATAACAGAGATGAACAGGCAGAAGCAGGAGGCATCAACACTCTAGCATACACATGCCTGCTTTCGTCCTGCTAGTTCGTGAGGCCGTTCGATGAGTTGTGAAGCAGTTGTGATGACATCGTTCGTGGAGCCGCAGTCCTGCTGACAAAAGAGATCGGCTTGAGCAGGCGGTTCGAATCGCTTCTGAGCTGCAGAACATCATCCATTCGGCCGGCGTCTCTGCTGTGGCCTTCTTGTAACCCCTTTCTTTGACTGTTGTGTTGTAACCCCTTTCTTTGACTGTTGTGGCCGTGCAGGCTGCCGCACCGATCATCGCTGTGGACCGGAACAACCGCATCACAGAGCCGGTTTGCCCAGAAATATATGGGGAGGCCGCTCCTCCCCTCCGCACATCAGTCTCAGCTCTTCAGGTGGAATAACCGAGTCGAGGAGATGACAGGCATCACTTCGGATCAAGCCGCTGGCAAGGTCTGCCTGTGGCTTCGCATGACTTTGTTGGCATGCTCTAGCCTCTAGCCGCCAACCTCACAGACTGCTCAAAGATGCCATCCCGACACCTACAATGCAAGGACATTCTCCTGTATGTGCGAGACAGTTGTGCCACGGAGGCCTGCCTTTCTTACTGTGTGGCCATGTACGTTTTCGTGGTTGTCCTTGTCGCTTGCTTGGTGCACAGCGAATGCATGCTGAGTGGTGCACTTCGTTCCGTGGCCGGTGAGTCTCGCATACGAGGCAAACCTTTATTAGGGAGAGTTCTGTTTGATCCCGCATCTGCACCGCACCTTTTCGGCTCGCCGTGTCCAGCTTCGATGCTTGCAGTCAGCACGCAATTGCGTGCTTCGTACTGTTAGAAGGGGCGAGAAGCTGTTCCGAAATGAAGCGGCCTGTGCAGCTGCTGGCGATGGTGCTGGCAGGACAGGCCCTTGTGGTCCTCGCAGCACGTCGCAGCTCGTGCAGTTGCGACTGTTGTGAGACCGCGGCCAGCCGCGAACAAGACTTCCCAGGAGGTATGCAGTGCAGTTTCGCTCAGCCCAAAGCTACAACCGCACCCAGGTGTGACAGCCTTTGTGCCAAGCATGCAGATGACGCTACAATTGAGTCAGCCCAGAGCTTCTTGGACACCGAGCGATTCTGCTTCGTGGAGTGCGTGCCGAGCAACGAAGACCTCCGAGCGGGGGACATCTGCCGACCTATGTCTTTCGAAGAGAGGAAGTCCTCGCGTGGAGAAGGTAACATTCGTTTACCGAAGCCCAGTGCCGTTCAGCACTTGAGGAAGAAGTCTTGGCAGACAGTCTTGGCTCGGGAGCCAAAGAAACCTGAAGCTCCCAAGGCATGGGCCTCCCTGGAAGGCTCAGACATGGAGAAGGCCTTGAAAGACGGGAAGAAGGCAGCCACCAAGGCCATGGAAGAAGCGCAGGCCGTCCAGAAAGCCAGCTACGCAGGTTTTTCCGTGGTGTCGAAAGCAGCCCGGGCAGAGGAAGATGCCCGGAAAGCGGCGGTCATGGCCATGAACACCGAAGAGAAGGTTCGAAAAGTGCTAGACATGGCAAAGATGGAAGCCCATGCAGAAGCCTTTGGGGTACTCAAGGAGGTCTTGCCCCCCATGCAACAGGCAGCTAGAGCTGCCGCGAAGGCCAGTGCCATGGCGGGGCCATCGTCCCAGGAGGAGGCCCAAAAAAGGCAGGTCTTGGCAACCTCCAAGGCTGCTGCAGATGGCATGAAGCCATGGTCCGATGCCATGCAGAATGCCGTGAAAGTGCGGGATGCTTATGCCTCTCGAGGCAAGGAGTTGGCCGAGGCATCCTTGGCAGCGGAGCGCAATGCGCAGTACCTTGAGAAGGAATCCCGCGCGTGGCAGACTGTACAGACTCCGCAGGCAGAGCGGAAAGCCAGCAATCTGCACTCCAAAGCCCAAGAGTTCATGGCCACAGCTTCAGAGAATGACGAGCGGGCCACCAAGTACTTTGACATTGCGAGGCCTCACGGTAGCACAGAAATACTGGGCACTGTGCTAGTAAATAGCTTGCTGTGGGTTCTGTGTCAGCGTTGCATTGCCCGACCAGTGCCAGGTCCATTGATGGCAGCCTGCCATCGTATTCCCAGCAGGCAGAACAGGGTGCCTACCACGCGATGGCCATGGTCTCTCCTGATGTTCCGGCCCCATTACCACCACTTGCAATGGTCCAGAAGTCTGAGAAGTGAGAGCAGCTCCTCATTGCATGAAGACACTGCTTCGATGCGCTCAACAGACAAAACAGTGCGACAGCTAGCTCAAGTCAAGATTTCGATGCTGAGTTTTCTGGAGCAAATCCTGAAGCGCGCTTTACCCTGAGTTGCATTGCCAGCAGGAGGCCTCGAGCACGATTGAACAGCTCTGCCGGTTGATTTAGCCACCTGGGCTCCTATGGCCACGGGGAGGGGTGCCCGCACGCTTCGGTGCCATGCCAAGCTCGCTGAAACTTGTCGAATAATAAAACTTTTAGTTGGTGGTGCCTCTTATGCCAGATTCTGAAGTCTGTGGCAACTGGAGGAAAGCACGGGCAGGGAAGCCCTCCGTAACTGAGATGAAGGACCATGTTCACGACATGAAGAGATTGGCAGAGGCAGATTGTTTCAGTGAGTCGGCGCAGGCCCAGCTCTCAGGCTTGCGGAAACCGGCCGCGAGCACCATGGAGGTGAGACGTTTGAGCCTGTGGAATCCTGTGGACCCATGACCTGCCGATTTGGTTTGGCGCTGCCGCTCACGTGGTAGAGCAAATCCTTTCCGCAGGCATTATACACCAAGTACCACCAGATCTGCACGTCACAGGATCCACCATTGCAGGTGCGAAAGCTTCTCTTCGCATGCTTGCGTGCATTTGCTAGCGTCCCACACGGTTGGCGGCGTTATCTGCAGGAAGTTCACGTTAACGAGCCGGACATGAACTGGAAAGCCCTTATTTTGAGTCTGCCCTCCCCCGACAATGAGAAGGCCAGAGGCAAACGCCAAAGTCGAGTGCAGACTCCAACTCTGTCTTTTGGCACAAGGGTTGCGCAATGTCGCACAGTTGTGGGGCAGAGGTGCTGGGCTGCGGAGTGCGGCGGATGCTGTTGAAGCGAGCAGATTGCGTCTATGACGGCATCTACCGCTTCCATGTTGAAAGGCACACGCCAGAGCACTGCAAAAAATCATCAGCTCTGCCGTTGTAGTGTTTGATGCCAGGCGGGACCTGAGCCAGATGATGTTCGATTTCCGAGATGCTTACGATGACCCTTACCATCACTACAAGGACCGGCCATTTATGCAGTCTATAGCAGCGTCTTCCGAGTTCAATCGCAGCAGCTGGCAGTTTGATCGCTGCGACATGGGCACGGCATTGGTTTTTGTTTGGGCCGCCCGCCTCTAAACCCCGGCTGTACACTGTTGCCTTTGCAAGTTCTGTGATCTGCTTCGCAGGACAAGTCGTTCGAGCATGATGTGGACACAGCCCTGCGTGCTGCCATTCTCCCACACCTGGTGCAGTTCAAGGCGCCAGCTCGAACTGACCACGTCGTTCCATTTCTTCCGAACGGCCCCACTGCTTCTAGGAATTACATTGCAAGGACAGCGTCGACCTCAGCTTGTTTTGGATCAGTCTTGCGGGTCTTTCGCTTCACATGTCATGGCCAGCGGCCAGAGCAGTGCCCCTTCGACGCCAGCTGCAGTACGACCGCTCAGCAGCCAGAAGAGCTTTGAGCCTTTGGGTCACGAGCAGACGCTGAAGCAGGCGATAGGCGGATGGCATCGCTATAGCCCTCGTTGGAAGCACTTGAACGAAAGCGACGACCCAAAATAGCAAGGGTGAGTGAGGGGGGGATGGGAAACAAAACGAAGCTTACTTTGGGAGCTAAACTTGAGGCTCGCTAGGGTGCGTTATTGTCATTATTGGTTCTTATTGATTGACCAAGGTCAGATGGAACTGGTTAGCCATATCTCCGGCACTGCACTTCCATGGGAGAAGGCTGTTGTTGGGATCTCAGCTGAAAGTGTTTCGTAATGCTCGGCTTTGACTGAGAATCGTGCAAGTCAAGGTGCAGCACTTCCCCGTCACGTTCAAGGTGCTGCTGGATTCATTCATGAACGAGAACCAGATTGCGCTTGAGAACATGAAGCTGGAGTTCTGCAAGGGCCTGAGCTTGAGCGATTGAGACTCTGAGACCTGCAAGAGCGATCGCTACAGGTCTGATAGGATGTAGACGATGCATTAGTGCATTGTGCTGCAAATAGAGGAGAGCCGACATTCGCAAAGTGCACTTCGCAAGTGTGGCAGTGACAGCTCCATCATCGAAAACAGGCGGGTTTTCAGTTGACACCTGCATTTCGGTGCGGCTTCAGGCGAGGACCACGGCTACAAGATCAAGGACCCCGAATTGTTGGACAGGTGGCGTTTGTTCCACAGAAGCCACGCGCAGTATCGTGCCTTATATGCAAACAAGTTCGTGCAAACCTTTGCCCATGATCTTGTCGCTGACGACTCATTTCCACAGATTTGCGGGTGATCTCTCGCTAAGGAATCATTTCCACAGATGAAGCCATGGAGCAGGAGCATTTGTGAGAAACAAAATTCAATGCTCCCAGCTTTGGCTGGAGTGATTCTGAGACTCTGAGACCGCGCCACCCAAGTTCACTCTGCTTGCTTCCACGACGAAGGATCCATTCTGTGCGGTTTTGTATAGGGTCTTCGACGCTTTAAGAGGCTCCTGTTGATATTCAGTGCAAGCACGATGGCTGGTCCTAGCTCCCTCTCATCCTTTGGTATGCGTACTATCTCACGACTCTAAGCTAGCACCTTTGAGGAAGCGGCTTGTAGAGGTCGCGCCAAATGTGCCAAAGGCTCATGGCAGCGATCGAACAAAACCTTGCCAGGTCGTCTGCCAGATGGCTGCAAGTCGAGATTGCTTTCAGTGTCAGCTGGCCTGTCTGTCGGATTGTTGAAAATCAATGGCTCCGGATACGTGGTGCACTTTTTCCGGCTGCGGCGTCATCGCGCAGCCAATTCCCGAGCAAGAGGCTGATGGCTGAAACTGTATCTGCTCTCAGGCTGAAATGCCGGCTGCTGTTTCTTAGTTTTCAATCTCGGGATCCACTCTGCAGTGTCTCTGCTGAGAGTTTGCAGTGAAGAGCAGCCATGGCCAGGTGATGTGCAGCTGGCGCTAAGACAGTGCTGCTGCCGGTTTCACTACGATCGCGAGCCATGCCGTCACTGAAGATGCTCTAACCCTGCTGGTCAGAATGCGATGCTGCAGGCATACAAAGGACGTCGTCAGAGACCTTCAAAGCTTGGTCACACCTTCATGGGTCAGTCTCATCTCAAGTCTTCGGCAGGTGGCGCATGTTCTGAAAGAGGTGGTCGAAGAGCGCAAGTCGAAAGCCAACTTGCAGGCCTACATGCTGATTTGTGCTGAGGCTTGCAAAGTGAGTAGAGTGTCAGTGTTTCGCTCACAAATCTACAAGTTCGGAGGTGTTGCTCGACACTCGCTCACAGGCAAGGGCCCAGGCTTTTGCGACGATGTGTTGTTTTGCACGACGGCACTTGAAGCCTCCAGGGCTACGTTGTCCTGCTCCTGAGCTGCACCCCTCGCTTGGGTAGCCCTGCTCCAAGCTGGCAGTCTGTTGTTGAACGTCCAGGTCAGCATGTTGAAAAGGATTCGTGCGCATTTTTGCTTGGCAGTTGCTTGCCTGCTGCAGCCAGTGGAAGTCAGGTGATGGCATGACCAAGGGAGCTATATGCATCGGGCAAGACATTACGGAGATGAAGGACGCAATATCAATACTGTCGTCAGCGAAGCCGCTTGCGTGTCATGTGATATATTGATATATTCCACCGTGACCTTGCGATGCTCCTTCACTGACTTTCCGACAGAAAAGCGAAACGACTGCTGAGATTGCAAAATGTCCTTTAGTCGTAATTGTCGATCGATGCAAACACTTGTACTTCAAACGTGCCCAAAACCAACTCAGAGCAGACCTTTTAGTATGAATGGTTCATCAATTTGCAATCTACTCTTTGAAACTGCTACTCGTACGGTATGACTACCTTGTCTTTCGCAGGTCTCCGTGAAAACACAAGAGCCCGTCCTCACTGCCGACGGGGCCAACAGAACCTGTTTGATACTGCATGCGGAATGCATCGGAACGCCTGGCTCGTGCCTGGGATCACGTGGAATATTGTACTTGCGGCATACCATAATGGCTTTAATCACTTTAATCAACATTTCCATCCATGACCGGACATGATGTCAGCGTGCTGCATTCTGCTTTGGAGGGCTCTTGTGAGAAGCTGACCGCATACTTTTCACATCTTTTCGAGTGCGTTCGGGGTGGTTGCCGAAGAAACTCGCAGAAGATGGCGCGTAGCCCAGGCGAGCATGCTGTTTTGCTACAGTGCCGAATGGTGCTGCAACCGGCAGGAGTTGGATGTTAAGAAGTCCAACATGGCTGCTGCCGTGACGCATGAGCTGAGGCGGGATGCTACTCGTGTGATTCGGCTACAGCAGTAGCAAACTTGGCCCTACTTGACAAGCTTGTGCAGCATGTCTACCTGCGTCCATGGAGCTACATGGCTTGCATGGGGGAGCTCGGCCTCATGGTCGCACAATGTTTTTGTTGCGCACCCGCAGATCGCCCTTGCACGGCATCATCGGGCTGTCAGAGCAGCTGATCGGCACTGCAGGAGAGCTGGGGTTTGGAAAGGACTCTGCACTAGAAGCAGTATCATCCACTTCTGCTGCACTGCCGGACTTGAAGCGCGTCTTTCTTGGATCGAAGAGGTTCCTTGCTTAGTTTGACAGTGCGGCTTGCAGGCGATGGCATCCGAAAGAAGCAGCTGACCCTGCCCAGGCCTCGGCATGAAGACAAGAGGTTCAGGCACACTCGCCTCGCTGCAATATGAGATGTATGCCATCAGAATCATACATTGAGCCATAGGTCGCAGATAGCTCGATCTGGATTTCAGTGCATTGCTTGCATGCGGATGTGGAGCTCTCTGGCCTCATCGGGCCTCCTTGTGTGCCAGGCATTTGCAGTGTGAACACAGTGTGATCCTATCACGTGGCGCGATGCACCATGATGACCCATGTCAACAGGCTGTGGTTTATCACTGAGTCCAGGGTTTTTTCCATTGTTCAGGATTCGTGTAGGCGCAGCATGCAGTTGCACCGGGCAAGGTCAGTGGGTTCAGTGCGCCTAGCACCTGTGCATATCAGCCATGGCGGCATCGATGGAGTGCTGTGCAGTTGCGCGAACTGGACAACCCGACATTGAATTGCGGGAGTTACGTGAAAGTCTACTATGCCAGCTCAGCAGTCAGCACGAGCTGCTGCAAGAGCTATCGGACAGTTCGAAACAGCTGAATGGCGAACTTGCGACCATAAGGCACTTCTTGGCGAGTAGCTCCAAGAACTTGCTTTCAGCCAAAACGAAGAGTCTGGATGTTCGAGGAGCTGGCACTCATGGGATTGGTGAGACTTCGAAATTTAGCGACAAGCCTCGAGGTTGCAACAGTTATTGGACATGCTCAAGTCTTGTTTATGTAATCGTGCCTAGGTTTACAGATGGTTGTTCAGTGCAATCCTGCACGAGATCTTGTCTCGCCGAACCTTTTTTGGAAAAGGCCACTGTGAAGGCCCTTAACTGCCTTAGCTAATCAGCATGCGGATCCAACAATGCAGGGAACCTCACTTGCATGCGAGCTGTCCCGTTGACGGGAGATTACAAGCGTAATTGAGGCTACGGCGACTAGGATTTCAGAAGAACAAGAGCGTTCTTGACAAAGACATGTTGAATCATGTTGTATATTCTGGATGCACTACTCATTGGTTGCCTCTGCGTTCGCGGAAGTGTGCCGAGATGTTCCGAGGCCTTCCTCCAAGCTGCAATGGCAACAGACGCAGGAGTTCACACCTGTCGCAGTCGCTCAGGTGACGGCGCCGAATGGCACCGGAATCAAGTCTGATGCTTCTCGCACCACTCTCGTTGAAGCTGTCGAGTCCGAGGCCCTTTACAGGGCACAGGCTGCTGCTCAGAAGGAGAAGAGTGAAAGGCAAGTCTGGCGGTGCTTTTCAGCTCGATCTTTCCGAGGACGTGCCAAAGAGCTGGCGTCTTCACCCTCGCTTGGACACTTCATCCTCATATTAATCTCGATAAACCTCGTTTGTCTCGGTATTGAGGTCGACCTGGGCACGACTCACGGCCAACAAGACATGCCTGAGTGGTTCAACTGGTTCAACTTAGTGGTCGTATGCATTTTCGCTTCCGAGATCGTGTTGAAGATTGTCGGTCTTGGGCTGCAAGACTTCGTGTGTGGGGTGGAGCGATGGTGGAATTTCTTTGACACCTTGATCATCGCGGCCTCAATGGTGGAGTCCTTCATCGAGATTTTTGCTAAAGCATCGCTGGGCACCCACATGGTCCACATCCGCTCCCTTCGATTCGTTCGTGTGATACGTGCGCTCAGAGGCTTTCGGGTAATCAGACTCCTTCGGTATGTAAGCGCTCTTCGCGGTTTAGTCTTCTCCATCGTGAGCACCATGGGAAGCCTCATGTGGACTATGGCTTTGCTGGCCTGGGCCTGAGGCATTGGAGACGCCAAGGAAGCTTGCGTACTCACTCGGTGTTCTCAACCCCCCCACGTTAATCTTGGGCCGGGAGAGAGTCGGGAATATTCGAATCAAGGAGGGATGGATCGAATGACAAAGGAAGCAATGAGTCAAGTGAAAGAGAGAGAAGCCAGGAAGACCTTACGACTCACGTCCACATGTTTATGTTCCGGCGAGTACGATCCATTTTCACAGCCAGTCGTGGAAAACAGTGCCTATTTTAAAGCGGTACTGTACCAAAGTCGTGCTCGTAACAATAAGCTCAAAGACTGGAAGAGACCCTCTCTTCGAAGCTTCGTGCCCGCTGTGAGTTGTCGGATCTCGTTCCCTGCGGTGGATGAGTGGACACTGGAACTAGCCATACATGCGACTGGACTATCCGGGCCTGTCCGAGTTTGTTAATGACAAGACTCTGCGTGGGAGGCTTTGTATGACGTACTGATGGCAGTCTTGAAGTTCCAGGTTCAGATGCAGGTTCTGCCAAAGATCTGAACACACGTTGTTCCCCAATAGCGAATAGCTACTAAGGCAGCGCGACCTAGTCAGCGAAGCGGGTGGGAAACAGCAGCTACTAAGTGTGATGCGCTACTTAGTGTGATGCGGTCCTTCGCTTATCCAGTCGGGGCTGCCCTGATTCTGGGGGGTCGGTGGTCTTCTGTGAATTCGAGTCGGTGTCCCGGTGATGTCACGATCCGTGTCCCGGTGGTTGCCTGATCGGTGCCACGGTCGGTGTCCCGGTCGTTGTACCACGCGAGACTCGTTCATGTCCGGGTCGTGTCCGCGTGGTGCCCCGGTTATCCCAGTCGGTGTCCTGGTCTGGGTCCGGTCCGTGTCGGTTTCGTCTCAGAAGAGTCCTTGTTGGTCGTAGACTGTTTCAGTCGGCTGGTCGTGTCTCGGTCGCGTGCCGGTGGGTGTCCATTCCGGTTATTTCACAGTCGGTGTCCTTTTCAGAGGGTTGCACGCCCGGACATCGAAAAAAGACCCCCGGACATCGAATAGCACTTCATGACATCGAAAGGTGCATCGTCCCGTCTCGACCCGTCCGTCCGGTCCCGACATCGATACAAAACTGTAGTTGCCGCGGCAATCTTTCCGGAGTCCGGGGGTAAAGTTCCCGTCGTCCCGCTGCCATAGATGCTTGCGTACATACATGCATACTGTCCGGGCCGGGCGGTGCTCCGGTCGTGTTCCGGTCGGTGACGCGGTCTGTGTCCCAGTCAGCGTCCCTGTCACCATTCCTGGCCTTGTCAGCGCAGCACAACCTATGCCCATGCACAAAACCACATACTTCACTTCACGTTTCATCGGTATTCGTGTGGATACATACCTGCGCTTTCCGTAGTAACTGGGCAAACAACCGAAACCCTTGGCCGAGTAAAGTGAAGGCTTGTCAGGAGGAATTGAGGCACGTGAATCAACAATTTATCTCATCTTTTCTCATCTACTGGCATCTCAAAATCTACGCAAGTCGGGCCAAGGTCTTGCTGTTTTACAGCTTCGGCGTGATCTTTACACAAATTGTGTCCGATCACTGCCGGCTGGAGACTATCAGCGCGACTGGAGACGTGAACGCGGTGCCTTATTGTACGGACGATGATGCTCGCAAGCATTTTCCAATGGTTGCTCGAACGATGCTTTCTCTTTTCATGGTGATTTCCTCGGGTGCTAATTGGCACGAACTCTTGGAGCCTTTGCAGCGGATCTCCTGGTTTGCTGTGGCTTTCTTGGTATTTTACATCGTAATTACTGTGTTCGCTGTATTGAATGTTGTTTCTTGGCCAGTTTAGCAGAAGAGTTTTTGTGACCTGTGTGACCACAAGTAACCGCAATGAATCGATAGGCATGCCGAAGTTGCAGCATGAGTAATAATGTCATCCTGACACGGGCTATGCTGCTGTAGCCTACCGCACAATGAAAATACCGTAGGTGATTCACTACCAAAGCACAAGCAGCAGCTGCAACGATTTCAGGTAACTGGTGTGTTTTGCCACACTGCTATTGAGTCTGCACAAGCGGACAAGGAGATTGCCGTCATGGTGCAAATGGAAAAAGAAGCGGCTCATGCTCCTTGATTTCGTTTGGCACACACACACACACTCTCTCTTTCCAAACATAGACCCGCGGAGTCGACTTGCCGCCTGCCCCACCAAAACACTCAATTTGCTGATTGCGGTGCTGCATTGTGCCGGAAAAGGTACGTGGATTGAAATCCATGTTCAACGAGATGGATGTTGACGGCTCTAACATGGTGAGCGTGAATGAGCTGAAGGCCATGAGGGCCGAAAACTGCAAGTGTGGGCAGTGAGCCTAACTGACCCCGAAAACTGCAGGATTCTGTAGGCATTGCCAAGTCAGTGCTGGCTGTTGCCAAATCGGAGGCTGCATTGAATACGATGAAGCTGGCGAGCTTTCTAGAATCCATGGAAATCTCGACAAAAGACGCTGCTCGGCTCGGAAGCTTGGAATCTGCCAGGTGCATCCTAGTCCGTAGACCTGTCCATGAACAGTTGGACGGTTAGTTTTTAGTGCCTGTGCCTATGCGTCTTTGTGTGTTTTCGGTATTTATTTATTTGATACCCTTTGATACTTGAATGGTAGCCGGTAGCCAGACTCTTAGCACATGGCACCACTTTAGTAGATTATAGACAGTTTCAGGTGTGGACCCTTTTTCGAATCATCGACAACGACCAAAGCGGTCTCATTGATCTGGAGGCACAGATACAATTATTCTGCACTCTTGCCATTTAATTGCATCACACTACTTGGTTGCATATGCCAAGTCAGGTACTGAATTAGGAGCACAGCTGCGAGGATCTTTTTTGCAGTGTTCTTGAATGGCCATATGTTGCTATGTCGCTTCAACGTGCGGAAAGCGAGGGAAACAAGCTCTCGTCCAGCAGCAACAGTTGGTACTACATACTCGGACTATGTAGATCCTTGATCCCAGGGAAAACAGGGGATTTTTCCCAAGGCACCTTCACTTCCCAGTTCCGATGTGGTGATGTATGCCCTGGTGCTTGTGTCCTGGTCTTATTGTTGCTTGTTACCGTCCGTACTGTCCACCCATTCTGATGGCCTCTCGCCCCGATACATGATGCTTGCTTTGCCGTGCGGCGATGTTGGGACAGTATTCTCACATTTCTCGCGTCGTCTTTACCACTCCCCAGCAGTACAACATGGTTTTCTGTGAAAAAAAGTCCAGGCTTCACATAGGGTAAGCGGTCGTGTGGAGCTCGGCCGAGCTGGACAGGAGTTCGTTCAAGGCTGCATGCAGCTGCACGGCCCTGCTAAAAGCTACTTGGCAGTGATGGAGAAAGACTTGCCAGTAGCAATCACCAAGATCGGGATGAAAGCAGGTTCATTGCCGAAACGCTGGCTCCCCAAGAGACTGAGGCATTCACATGGCTAAGATGAGTCACGAGAACAAGATCACCCGCCAAGCAATCAAGGGCTTATCTTTGAAGTTAGACGCAATCAGCCGTCAATTGACGGAGCTTCAGGCTTATTGACGAGAAGTTTCACTGTGCATGTTGCCGGCCTTGCAGCAAGAGGCTGCGGTGCTGGTGGCACCTTGCCGTGAACATCACGGATCCTGTCGCGTGTGATAGTTCATCACAGCACGGACAATAGAGAGAAAGAGAGAGAGAAAGAGAGAGAGAGAGAGAGAGACGCACCCTTTGGGGTTGGAGGGCCGTGACAAGCCTGCTAGGCCCCAGGGCCTGGAGTAAGATAGACTGGCATGCTGACAGCTCTCCATACCCGCGAGAGAGAGAGAGAGAGAGAGGGAGGTGAAAGAAAGAGAGAGGCAGGGGTGGCCGGTGTCTCTTACGCTGGCGACAGAAAGAGAGCGAGGAGCGGCTCAGCTTGTAGGAATTTCCCGGGAAATGCTTTCTGACTGTACTGCGTGCTTGTATCTACAATGTTGGTTGGACTGCTCATTTGCCGGGAAGATGTTTCGATCCTGACGCCGATGTCTGGCAGAATAGTATCGCGGAAATCCCAGATCTTATGTAAACATACTTTCCGCCCACGATTCCCGGACCTATTCTCGTTCTCAATCGTCCCTTCCGTCAACAGCACGGGGCAGAAGATGCTATGCCCGAGAAAGAGAGGCGCGCGTGCTGCAAGCTTTTGCAGTCAGGGCTGAGACCGTCGAAAAGACGCATGTTGCATGGAATGGGAGAGGAGCCACAAGACGAGTCGGGTTACTATTTTCATCGACTTGTCAGATGGCGCTGCAGCAGTCCATCTTTGCTTTCGGCGAAGCGAAAGCAAACGGAATTTTGCACACCGTTTCACCTGTGGCAACTGAAATGATCAAATCATTTTTGCTACGACTGCTCACGTTGAAGCACCAGGCCGGCTCGGTGAGAAAACAGCAAGAGAGCAACTGCTGCAGCATAGCCCACACGGTTCCGGTGCGATTCATGTCAGCGCCTCCTGGTTTTGCTTTGCGGGAGTTGAGTAGAGCCGGTAAAATGCTAGTCTCAGCACAGCCTGCTCAGCACGGCCATGCTCAGGATCAAGACCTGTGCGCAGCGCCTGCTCGATGTGGTTACGAACATCATGACCGTGCTTCAGCCTTACAAGAATACTCTAACACTCCTCGAGCCCTGCTAGCAGACCGAACTTTGGCTTGACAAGGCGTGCATGAAACGAAAGGTCTGACTTGGCAATCCATCTATTTTTGAGTTCCGGCGAATACGACATGTCTTCTCAGGTCTACTCTGGTGCAGAAGAAGAAGACACTTCTGGCGAGGCCACAATGTCATGACAAAGTACAGCCAGTGTGTGGTGCGGAACTGAAAAATTGTGAGCCTGGCAACCCGTCGAGTCTAGAGACGAGGTACTTTGCCGGGTGATGTGTTATTGTGTGTTGCCCTGTTGTTGACCGTCACTTTCGCATCACGGGACACCTGCTGAGAGTCTGTCCGGCTAGATGTTGCAGAATGGCACAGCATTGAGTCAAGATATGTTCTCCCAGAATGTCAAGTGTATGTTAAACCCGGAGGGACCCGGTGCAGATCCGCTCCATTTTGGAAGAGGTCCGACGGTTCAAATATTCCTCATGCCGGATGGGTACTGTGACATCTGCTAGAGGTCAGCTTGCAGCATTTACACAGCGGATTACGCAAGTAGAACAGACAGACATATGCTTTCTCAGATGCATGCTTGCAGGAGTCCCAGTGAAGGCCAAATGCCCTGCCAGGTCCGATTGCTGTGTGCGACGGCCGTGGACAAGGCACTGAGTTGAATGCGCAGTGAATTGCTGGCATTGGGTTCTTCTTCTTTGAGAAAGGTACAGGTAGAGTCAGGTAGAGCAGGCAGAGTTTTAGCTCCTGGACGTGGCAGGCAAATCGGCCCGTGAAAAAGCCGGAGGTGCAGCTTGTGTTTGACATCCCCGAGCAGTCAGAAGCTGAGAAGTTCAGAGCCCAAGCGAAGCAGCGGTCGCAGGAGCGCAGTGTGAACCATGCTGTAGACATGTCATGATGTTGAGCCAGATTTGCGACAAGCATACAATCTGAGTACCTGCTCTGAGGCTGCCAATTATCGAGGTGCGCTTGTCATGCTTGGGGCGGTGCGTAAAAGCATGTGCGTAGCCGTTGGCCAGTGGTTATTCAAATTTCGAAAACCCTGTGCAAGTGTCGCAGAGGCTGCCTTCCACATATATGACTGAATTGCAGTGAAGCTTGGGCTCGCAACGTTGCTTGTCAGAGCGCATCCCGGAGCTGCAAGGAGCTGGGTGATTGCGAGCCCGCAAGAAAAGTCCTATCCGACCTCCCATTGCCAGGCGGATGCCCATCGATGCATGCAGATGTTGTACAACCTGGTCACCAATGTATCGATCCTAGCAAGATGCGTCGCTATGCAAGCACTTTTCGAGCAGGTCCTCTGCAGTGTCGGCGTTATCCCTTACTTGGCCACGTGCAGGATTTGTAGATCGGAGTTCCTATACGACAATTTTCCTTGCCTTGTCGCGCAACCAGCACCTGTTATTGAGGAACTCGAAGGGTGTGCACCCAACAAGTTGAAAGATTGTCTTCAATTTCCCACCTTCCAGCACAGACATTTCGCAGCTAGAGAAGCACGCGGCGGTAAGGCTCTCAAGTACACCGTGCAGGGGGAGGTCCACGTCCTGCCCTCGTCAGCTGTTAGTCCATGTTGTCTGCCCAAGTCCAGACAAAAAGCACTAGTTGCGACAAGTTCTTGGATTCTTAGGGTCATGGTCCTCGTTTCGTCGCAAAGAGCAAATCCCACACAGGTCACGGCTGCCGCAGACGAGGAGAAGAAGACCGTCACTTTGGAAGTTTCCGACACAGGCCATGAAACGTTCCTACAGTCATCTCGACTTGCCACAACTTCTGAGCACAGGCATCGGCATTGGCCAAGCAGCCCGCGAGCGAATCTTTCTGCCTTTCGAGCAGGAGGACGGTGTGCAGAATCGGATGTTCAGAGGCTTTGCTTCTGTTTCGCATGGTTTTTTTTTGGACCTTCAGGACCAAAGTGACTCTCGGCGCTACGAGGGCCTTGGCCTCGGCCTGGCGATCTCCCGCGCCGTGGCGGAGAAGCACGGAGGCGAGAGCGCGGCAAGCCTTTTAGTGCAAACCCCACCACGACGCCTTGCACTTGCCAACGTCACATGCGTCTTGCTTGCCATTGCGTGTTCCGCCTGTTGCAGTGGTGTGAAATTGCGGATGCCGCACGCAGCATGCAGTTTTCCGTAGTTGAAGTGTTGGCACCGTGCTAATCCCGCCTGGTACTGTAAGATTCAAGAGATCCTGTTTCTCGCGCGGCTTGTCGTGCTCTCACTATGGCAGGTAGCCTCACTGTTGAGAGCGAGGCCTTCAGAAGCGGCCTTCATTCCGGGCTGTGGAGCAGCAGTTGTGTCATCACATCTTGGCGCACTACGCAGCTAGCCTTTGCCCACTGTATTTCGAGAGACCTCTTCCACTACTGCTGGCCATTCAGATCACACGCTGTGCAAGTCCGACCGATGACATGACAACATGTCCACGGCATTCTGTGGCTGCGGTGCTCGGCATGTTCAGGTTGGCAAAGGCTCGAGCTTCAAAGCAACGTGTCCTGGCTAAATTACAAGTTTCACCCACGTTCTGCAGTGTTCCAGCGCGGGCTCGCTCTGTGCGCAATGCGTGCACCGCTTTGAAATTTGCATTTGTATATTTGCACTGACCCGCCCAGGCTGCCTTATGAACAGCCCGAGTATTTCGGACGGGCAAGTCCGTGGGACAAGTTGGTGCGAGAGCCTCAGGGTGCAATGCCGTGTCGCCTAGCTGAGCAGCACGCGTGAAAATGATGGGATGCGATGAGGGTCCTAGGGTCGCAACACTGTCCTATCAGTCCTATCACAGGGATCACTGCGTGGAGTTGATTGCCACTTCGGAGTGTTCACAATCCAGCAGCGTAAACAATGTTGGACATTGTCTTCCTACGACCAGGTCTGAGGGACGTCAGGCTCCGACAGAGGCCCAGATCACAGAGCCACGCAGAGTCAATGGTCAGTTTGTTTCCAGTGCACGAAAGCAGATTGGAAATCCGGCTGGACTTGTTGTTAATCGCTGCCAGACCACGATCCTGGACAGGCCGAGACAGATGATCCACTCGACAGAACTCGCAATGTGCTCGTCATAGCCTGCACTGCTTACCACGTCACTGATGTTGCCATTTTTATGTACTGTCCGATTGGGGTTCGGAGTCTGGCTTAGAGGCTACTGTAGTCACTGTAGTAGTCACTAACTATCGCGGGATGCGCATTGCTCGCAAACGTATTTCATTATGTGCTTCAGCCAGATGAGTTGGCATGTGTACGCACCTGTACGCTACTTAGGTTCTTCAGCATGAGGAGGCTGCGCACCCGTCGACTCCAGCTTTCTGCGCCCTGAGTAAACATGACTCGGTAGCATCAGCAGCAAGAATCTGTGTCTTGTCGGACTCGTGACGACGGGAGATTAACTATTACTCAGATGGACTTGGCCTGGCCAGGTGTCAGTGCGTCAACATCTGTCGCTGCGGCATGTCTCTGGGCAAGTACTGGCTACAAACTGAGCTACCCGACAATAGACACAGGTTCCGGTAGCCCAGGACCTCACAAGTGCTACTGACCAGATTCCGTCTCACCTGAGGTTGTTGATGACGATCAGCAAGCCCGACATTACGTGCCCCTCTGAGCTGCCATCGATGCTACCAAAGCAAGTCTCCCGGTAGTCCTGTAAGACTATGCTGTCGATGCTCATCTCAAGAGTGAATCCATGAGAGAACACAAGCCAAACAAATTGCGGTCAGTATCAAGGGAGGGGGTGATCAAGGTACGCGACGTTCTGCAAAGGACGCAGGCTGAACGGGGCTCCTGTTGCCTGCTGCTGCAAGCCAATTCGCATGTTGATCTTTTCAGTTGTCATGATTCGGAATCACTTGCAGGGTAGAAGTCGAACTAGCATCTGGCGCACCACGGGTGGCCCCAAACACCAAGCGTCTTGGTCAGCAGCGCCTCCAGTTCGGCACGGACACTGCTCGCTGTTCAGGCGGAAGTCGTCGAGTGCGCGAGCAGCTTTTGACTCAGCATCTTTCCCCTGCTCGGATCCATAGCTCGGCCGTCAATTCATTGGAGGCAGCGCAAAGCCTGCAGACACAAACATGATGCCATGTTGGTAATACCTTGCAGAGAGATAGAGATTGTATGCACGTGCATTTGCATGGACAGGCACAAGCACCACACTCTTCGCGTGATGCATGCATGCATGCATGCATGCATGCATGCATGCATGCATGCATGCATGCATGAATGAATGAATGAATGAATGAATGAATGAATGTATGAGTGTATGTATGTTTGTATGTATGTATGTATGTATGTATGTATGTATGTATGTATGTATGTATGTATGTATGTGTGTGTGTGTATGTGTGTGTGTGAGAGATGTGATGTATGTATGTATATTTGTGTGCATGTGCGTACGTGTGTAGGTGTGTATGTATATATATATATGGTTCCGTGTCGCCTGTCGGTACCCCCCCCGTGGGTGGCTTAAATAGGGTCTATTTGGAAGCTGGCATTCGTGTTTTATAGAGAGAAAATGAGTCTAAATCCCTAATATATACNNGTTTTGTTATGGTTACAAACTTCCCCACGAAGACCAGCTAGATGATACCAGCGAGCGAGAGTACGTATTGGAGCAACACTCCGTTAAGGTTTGGTTCGTGTCACAAGACCCGTGTCGACAGCAGGCTAACACAAACGAGTAACCGACAGCGTGATGCACTCACGCATGAGAATACAGCAACACAATACCGCTTCTCCTCTTGTCTAGGAACAAGAATCCACATAAATGAGCAATCGCGAACCAGGCAATAAGCAGCAACAAGTATCAAACAACGTAAGTGCAGTTTCCTTTCTCGCCTGAAGACAAGATTTTGCATACATGAGCTCTCACCATGATGGTGGCAAACAATAACAAGTACCCAACAACGCAATGCCGATTCCCG